ATTTCAACCATACTCTACTGAACCTATATATTTTATAATATAATACATACATTATACGCAACATTGCAAAAACCCGGGGGTAATGTGAATTTTAATAAAACTGTATTAAGGTACATTGAATTTGCAGTTTGCCTCGAAGATTTAGTTTAAGTGTCCAAGGCTATTCCTCCAAAAAACGATGCGTACAAGTACTGAACAAACAGTTAAATATTTACCCAATACAAATATATACGTAGTTTCATATGATATTAAGGATAAGTAATAGAATACCATATTATATTTAATCGGTAACATATTTTGTTTTTTATGGAGAAAATCGATCAGTAAGTACCTACCTACAGAATAAAGTCCTAATATTTTATGGCTTAATTTATTTCAAATGTAAATGTTTTTAAGGTTCATTTCTTAAAAAATCGATTTCTATTTATTAAGTTTCTATTTCAAAGATAACAGTTCGGTACCTATATATTGTTCGTGACTGATATAGATTTATTTTATGTATCTCTCCCGTCTAAAACTATGTATACTAATATACCTATATATGTTACGACTTATGTTCTCCATATCTCATACTAATGTGTTATGTTCGTATGACCGCATCGGTAATAATTATTTAAATAATGTAAATTAGTTTACACAATGTTTTTATACTTTAAATTATTCTCCATGGTATATAGTTCTATTTTATTACGTTATTATTGACGTTTTTCCGCAATATTTCATTAAAAAATATTCATAAAAATAATTCAGGTAATTTTCAGTGTGGACACAGAATGGTAGATGAAATAAATAAATAATTTCATGTATTTTGTGGTGTAAATAACAACGTGAACGTCAAAATATAAATTGTGGGAATTAAAGAGTATAATATATGCAGACGACTAAGAGGCAATAATTTAAATCTTTATTTTTCATCAAACGTTTTGTGAAATAAGAATTTAAGCGCGTTGTCAAAATGGACAAAAAATTAATTAAACCAATTCATAAATGATAAGTTATATCCATCACCGATTAGAATATTATTATCAACTGTAACTTGAATTAGATAATAATATAATATTACGTATACGTAGGTACAGCACTTACAGCAGTACATTTATTTTCCACAAACAATTTTATTTACACATAATTGTATAACTATATCGTCTATAATGGATATTATATTTAACGATATGTGATATTGCGAGACTTTCATTTAGGATAAATAGATGTACGCATATTCATTAAGCAAAAAAAAAAAAATACGTATAAATTGTATCATAAACTTAGACAGTTGGACGCGTTATTACATGGTAGCTGATCATAAATTCTGTTGAGTGCATTTTGTTGTACATATTGGTACATTATCGTATTTTAAATACTTTCGATATCGTTGTTTCCTGCAGAAATAATCAATGCTACACTACGTAGTACGTAGGTACATCATGACTCTACGACATTAGCGTAAAATGGGCCGGTTACTTTGATAATTTTTTACTGTTTTATCATTATTTTACTTTTTATTGTACGGATAACTTCTCTAGTATTAACGATAAGTCTCAAAATTAATCTTAGTTAGGTACAGCTAATTATGCTCTTCTCAATTTTTTAACGTTTTAATTCTTAAATTTCTGATGTTATCTCTTGAGATATTAGTCTTTTTAAAATGCTATCAAAGTTGCACAATTTTGTGGGCAACTTTCATACCCACTTAATGTAGTATCAAATTAACCCCATTTTGTAAAAAAAAGATTAAATTGTCATGGTACTCAGGTGAGTAAAAATAAAAGTACCTATATAAAAGTTAATAAATCACTAAACTAAATCAAAAACTATAGTCAAAATATATACATTTTATTAGTACCGTATGAATAAACAAGGTAAATTTTTTTGTCTTTGTATACTCAAACTAAACGATTTAATGAAAATTGTTATAAAAACTTATGTCTATATGCATAGTCAATTTGTGTGTCACAAATACGGGCATGCATTAATAAAATATAGTGATTGTTTATACACTAATCTAACAAAAAAATGTGCAAAAATTGGAAAATAAAATTACACGAATCAAAATAAAACGAAGCTCGATTTCGTCAACGAAAAATTAATAATATATGTACAATTTATTTAGCCCTTAATTTAATTTAATCTTATTAGATCTCTGGAAGACAGCACTAATACTAGCCCAAACATTTAATCTTATAACGCTTGGATAAATTTAATTTTTAATTAAATGAGTTTAAATATTAAATTCATTAGATATTATCACCTTGGTAAATCAACTAGTACTCGACTGTTAAAAATTACTTGCAGCTATACGAACAATGATTTTGATATTCTTAAAGTACAATCTAAAACTTGTTTGTATATCAAGCTTACAAAGATATTCGCTTTTCATCGGATCAATATTATAGGTACTCTATTTGTTATATTGATATTCTTCTTCTTTAAGATGTTTACACGGTACGCAGCGGCGACCAGTACTATAAGTACAAAGGGTACCGCAGCGACCGGTCTGCACTTTTGTCAACAGCCGACACCACGGGCTACGACAGGGCGACTCTCCCACCGCCCCGCAAAGGCACAAGGTGGGACGGGCAGGCAGTGGAGTCATTTCAGTTTTTATCAGACTATAGGGCAATTTTTCACTACTATTCCGACTCGACATTTTTTACACTCAGATTCTCATAGCATAGTGCCATAGTGGTAAATGGGGGGGGGGTTGGGGGCGTGTGGTAAATGTGCCAACTTAAGGTTGATGTAAATACTAGACTGGGACAAATTCCCCAGTTGCCAAAAGACGCCACTGCGGGAAGGGAAATCTCGCAAAGCATCTCTCTCTCTCTCGTACGTCGCCGACAACGCCACCTCGCACACACACCGTCGAACGGCCACCCCTCCGATCGCTCGACCGAAACCACCCTCGAGCACATATTTATATATTATTCTCTGTATTAGTTGTGCGAAATAAAAGGGCCACAGGGCTATTTCGATAACCCACAGTGTTGTGTCAGATTTATTTCATTGTGAGTGTCACCCACACCTTCCACACCACTTCAACGACCGGTTCACCGCCCTGGCCGCGTTATAATGTGTTTAATCAGAAATTAAAACATGGACGCTTCCATAATTCGTTGCCAACTAGAATATACAGTTATTATAATATGCAGGTGTTAAAATAATACTATGACTCTAAATCACAGTATTGAATCTATCCAAAATGCATTTTAAGGCATAATATATTTTAAGTGTAGAATATCCGTGGAATACCCGTTGGTTTTAATTCGAATGGGGTTATACGATTTTTAAATATGTCAACTTAACAAAATCGCAGAAATAATTAAAATCTTATTTTAAACTTTATAAACTTTAAACTTATTCAAACTTTTAAATAATAAAGTAGATTACCTACCTATTATAGAAAAACTTACATTTTTAATTAAATATTTATAGTAGATCACATCATAATGTCTCCTGTGATAATTCTTATATTATGTCTGTTGGTAAATCTGTAATTATTGTATAGTTTGTTTTTATGTACCTAATGAAAATAATATAAAATATATCCGTATTGATAAGTTGTTATATTAGATTCAGGCGAATGTATTGATTTTAAAATTATATATTTTTTTTAATAGTATATGTGTACACAACAGTGACGTATCTAGAGGGGTAACGCTTTTTGAGCTAAAAGACATATGAGGTTGTCGTTTATTTTAGTTTATTTTTCCTTTCAATGCCATATTAAATTTTTCGCTCATTTAATAAGTTTAACAATTTAATACGAGGTCTCTCATAAGTCATAAGTAGTAAACTATATAATTAAAAAAATATATATAAATTTTAAATTCAAATTTCGACGAAATTCTTTATTCAAACGAAGAATAATTATTTTAGTTATTTTTATGTAATTTAACAATATTTTTCGTGGGAATTTGAAACTTTTACATATATCATTATATTTTATAAGTACTATGACGTTTTCAAAACATTTAGATCAGTTTTATTCTATCTCCATTATAATTTGTTTTATACCGTATATTATTATAAATAGTAAAATAAATTACTATTATAATAAAATTAATAGCAATATATATAAATTATAGGATGGAAGATCGTCCCCACTCAGAATCGTTTTTCGTATTCAATGATTTATCATTTAATTCAAATGTAATACATCCATTACAACAGTGACCTACTCAATGACGAGGTACACTCGACTCTCCCACAACAATATAGCTGAACGGTTCCCTACTTTCCCCCTTTTTTTTTAATAATATGTTATGTAATCCTAATGATTATGATTTATTTTACTTGGATTAATTTCATGATAGTTTAATATATATGTACTATAATAGACACAAAGTAAATTGATAATTTTGTTTTTCGCTCATACGAATATACGTTGTAATAAACTGACTGCTACAATTTTACATTAATTATAATTAATAATATTTATATAAAAAATATAAATATAAAAAATGATTGTAAAAATGATTATAATAAATTGCAGTTTTAAATATGAATACAGTTTTCGTTTTATCATGCGTCATGACAAATTTTTCTTTTAAAAAGTAGGTTTACCATAATATGAAATAGGTATAATATAGGATATAATAAAATATAATATAGATAAAATATTTTTTATCATGTAAATATGTGATATAAATTAACTGTATAAATTATAATATGTTATAATATTATAAAATTTACTTTTGATTTGATAGCTACCATATTATATTTTATCAATACGTGAATATTAAATACAAAATTTAATAATTTAGTATATAATAACTCTAAAATAATCATTTTAGAACGTAAAATTTTTACTAACGACCTCCCCACCATGATAATAAAAACGATTTATAAAATAATACAATATACTGCAACAGTGCAACACTACAATATTCACACTATACATCTTGTACCAGGGTTACTGCAGACTTTTCATTCTGCTACCTATATAGGTACTTCACTATCGTATGATTATAAAATATAAATAAAAATCTTTTTTTTTTTACCGGTGTAATATGCCTGGTTGAACTTTATGAGGGCCGAGTGAATCTTGCCCTGTCTGTACAAGGCCTTGCCCTCGTCCAGCAGCTCGGAGGCCCGCAACTGCACCGGCCACAGTTTCTCGACCAACGACTTGACTAGCACGTCTACGTGTGGCTGGAATGGCGTGCGTATGCCGCATTTGTGGCACACTAACGGTTTGCAGGCGGTGCCACCCCCGCACCTGCGGCAGCACGTGTGACCGCACAGCAACGTGACCGGTTCCCTCAGCACCAGGTTGCAGACGCAACAAACGAACGGGCACGACTGTTGCTGCTGATGATCGTGGCGGGTGTTGTGGTGGTGGTGGTGCTGTTGGTTGTTGTGTTGCTGCTGTATTTGTTGTTGTTGCGACTGTGCGGGCGGCGACGAGGGCTTTGTGACTGTCTGGGAGTCGTCGAACTGCTGTCGGATCAGGTCGAGGAAAGCCGAGGTCACGTGCCACAGGCAGTCGACGGGCAGCGGGCCCATCCGGAAACACTGGGCGTACAGATCCAGGGATTCGCACACTCGGCCGCACTTGGCCACCGAGTCGGCGTACGCGATGCACGCCTCCAAATTGTCGTAACCGGCATTGACACCACCACTTCGGATCTGCTGCAATTTCTCATGTTGCTGATGCTGCTGCTGTTGCTGCTGCTGCTGATGCTGCTGCTGCTGCTGCTGTTGATCCTGGTGGAGGGCGACAGGTTCACCGCCGCCATACGTACTGATGTATAGACCGGACAACTTGTCGCTGGCTACCACTTTGGCCATAAAATCATTTATGCTAACTCCCACCTTTTGAATGAAGAACGACATCAACCTGCGAACAGTGCACAACATGCGAACACCATCACTCGTATTAAATAATATCGCAATTTATGTATACCTATTTAGTTCAAAAATAATAATACAATATTGTCGGTCAATTGCATTTTATGTTAAAACTTTTATAACAGTTAAAACCGTTCGAGTATATACGTTCGTACTACATAGTAGTATAATAGTACATGGTAGTTTTTTGTTTAAGTTATTGAAAAAAAAATAAAAATGTCGGTGTATTATATCTTATAAAATATTTATGTGCTATAGAAGACACATAACTATTTTATTATTGTATATACCCCCAAAACATAACGTCACAGCCAACTGCGTGTCTGCGTTCGACCACTGTCACCAGCACGTGTTCGAAACACTGCAAACGTCTGTACGCTTACCTGTTATATAGGTTCCTCCTACTAATAAGTTATTAATATAACTTACTATAATATGTGTTTAATATAATGCTAAGTATAATAATATGTCATCGACCATCCGCGCCGAGCGCGTTATCATCGCATATACGGGAACGCAATCGGTTAATTTTTCTCAGCCCGTTTAAATCGAGTTTTAACTTTTAACTCTTCATAGAGAGGCTGTTCCCAAACTGTGAGGCGGTCCTCCCTTGGGAGTCTCGAGCCGAGTGGTAAATAACGATTTTTTTTTAAATCGACATTAATTTTGCACACAGTTATATTGTAAGATTATTATACTAATATTCGGTGATTTTTGAGGAAGTCACTATACATCCAGCCAGCGTTATCGATAATCCGATATTATAGCATCAACCGAACAATAAAAATATATGTATAATATACAAATACTATACATTTGTTATTTATTTATTCAAGGGAGGTGCAATTATTATTTTTATTTTTAGGGTGGTGTGAACTAAAAAAGTTTGGGAACTGCTGCTATAGAGTATAATATTATATTTCTTTATTTGCATGGAAACGCGTTTATTATTTGTTGTCAACGACTTACCTACGACTCCGATGGGCGATGATCATATTATATTATCTATTAAATATTATGTTATTGTTATATTATTATTATTTTTTTCGTATATCGTAAACACGAAACCATTCCAAACGATACATGACCAACCGTAAATTCACAAGTAAAGCACGTGTGCGCCCGTTCTCCCTCTTTCGTTCCCAATGGTTGACCGGCAATATTCTGACGTAGCAACAGCGACCGAGCGAGTGTGCGCGCCCGCCGCCCACTCCCTACCCATCACCGCACACGGAGTACCGTTTACAGTCGCATTATTATTATTATTATTATATATTCTACGGGTTACGTAACACGGGCAGAACCAGTCAGAAATGTTTACAAGAACATGACATAAAATCTACGTACACACACGCGACACAACCGCATAAGCCATCGCCCGTTATCGTTGGGTTAGAGTAGGTACGATGGATTTTTTTATTTATTTTTATTACTTTTATAACTTATTTACTCATTACTACATACGACCACCGGAATAAAATTTTACCAATTTATAGTAGACAAACATCGGATTTTGGAAGGTTATTTTTGACATTTTTGTTTGGTTGCGATTTTTAAACATAATTGCCCAATGCACATTATAAGTAATCATGTAGGTAGTCTAAAGTGATATAGGTACCATGATAATATTATAGTTTGAAATTTGATTCTTCAAAGTTCAAATATAATTAATATACCTATAATATTGTCTAGGGTTATGGGAAATTTACGGATGAAACTAAAATTGTACAGACAGTCCGTTGACTGATATACTATACACCGCTATGAACAAAAAAACAAATTGTTCGACTGAAAACTGGACGACGATTCACATAATATATAACCCACCCTGTACATAAAAGCAGGCAGTAGGCATTACAAGATTCAACACATAATATTCGTAATTTTTTGTTCAGCGCGTACGAACATAATATATTATTATAGAAAACGAAATTTCATAACGAAACGTGAACACAGAACAGTAGAACACCCACTACAAAGTTGTTGTACGCACTTTATATTTTCGTAATACGCACTTTTAATTTCGTAATGTACCTACTGCACAGCAGTGTGCAATAAACACACACAATGTTTATAAATCATAAATCACCAGACCGAGATCTAAAAAGTGTTATATGTTATGATTCCCCCAGCCCTGTGCCCCTCGTAAATTATAATAATATTATATTATACGCAAACGATTGTAATGAAACTGGGCCTGAACGCGTAATGATGGCACGATTGACTGTTATTAGGTCATTTATGTAGCCTATATGTAATATTATTATTATTGAGAAACCGCAAGCGTATATACCACCTATATAGTGTTGCGATCCCTCTTTTTTCGATTTTGCAATCGCTCGCGGTGTGGGTTCACCATAACTGCGAGTGTATTACGAAATAGTATTAAAACACAATAATATAATGTAATAATAATATAATGTTATTACGTACTACGTAGCTATCATCCCGCCGCATTCAGACTATTTAACTATCCACCGCATAAAAATCAACTCATCAAGTAATAGAGTATACATCCTCCACGATAAGCAAACCTTTTGAAGTTAGATTTTGAGGGTAAACCATGCAATCATCTGAAGTTAATAAATGACGACTGGTTGGTATATGCTTATACGAATATTATTCTATACCCTGCAGCCCATCATTTTCTATCTATCTATATAAAAATTAAAAATTATTCGAAATGACGATCAAACGTTGTTGTGAACTAGGTACGATTATATATTATAACTTTTTATGCCAACTGCCGTGTTTAAACTTTAAATATATACCTACTATACCTGTCATAAGTTTAAAGTGGCATTTCTGAAGCCCTATCTCGAGTAGAACACACAGACACGCGTGGTGTAATATAATTTTTTTCAATATTTCGGTACTTGCCTACAGTGTAAAAAACGAATTCCCATTCCATTTGCCTATTTATTATAACGTATATATCATATTATGAATAGTTAAATCTAATCTAACCTTACCAAATTATGTTTACCTACAAAATATATCACTTTCACTTTTATTAATCATTTAGGTAAAGCTATACACTGTACACAGTGGTGTGGGTGGGGGAGATACTGTATACTGGATTATATGGAGTGTAGTGTATACTCACTTATGTATAGATTTTTTTTTATCGTATGCTCACTAAATTTACGATAGGTACGTGGATATATGACCATATGTCCTCGCTTACCCATTAGAATTTTCAGTGACGTAAACAAGATATTTTATGATTATTTGTAATTTTAAATTCTCAAATAGCTGCAGTTAGTAGTACCTACCTACTTAAAAATATCAGCTGAGTATCAAAAAATATTTTAAGAACCAATAATGACTAAACCAAAGTTGAAAATTCATAACCTCGATGATTACGTGTTTAAAAAATAACTATTCATATATTATTATGTACTATAATATACTCTTATATAAATAATACGGCGTGGAAATTTTAAAGTACATTTTTAGCACCAGATAACACTATTCAAGGTGGTTCAGTAAGTATTTCTACTTATAACAATATCTGATTCAAAAAAGTAAATATTTTGAGATTTTGATCGGGGTGAGAATGTACATAATTGTTAATAAGTTAATAATGATGAATGTTATTTTTGTGTGTCTAACGGCGACATTAGGAACAGTAAAAATGTTTAGGTTTTATTCATTGAAGAAGGTTTCTAAAAAAAAATTGAACATACTTGTAACTTTTTGGGGGTTAAAAGTAAAAATTGCTAGTCCTTTTTAAAATATTCCAGAAAACAAAACAAAAAGTGAAGAAAAAATGTTAATTTTAACGCAAACCCAGTTTTTGACCAAATCAATTTTGTTTTTTTTTTTTTTTAATGTAATTCAAAAATGAAAACCTTAAATTTGAAATGTTCACCATACATTCATTAAGTTTAAATCATGTTCAAATTTTGATAAAATTGTATATTCAAACAAAGAATAATGATTTTAATTATTTTGTTGTGATTCAAAATTATTATTTGTGTTTGAAACTTAATATGTATATTATTGTATATTATTACAGCAATGATATTTTCAAATAATTTAGATTAATTTTATATTATTTACCTATTAAAATAATAGTATAAATCTATATAGGTACTTATATATAAAAATGAATTTTTGTCTATCTATCTGTCTGTTTGTCTGTGTGTCCTTTGTCCATTCCTAAACGGCTGGAACGATTACGATGAAATTTGGTACGGGGATAGATTAGACCTCTGCAAAGAAGATAGGCTAATTTAAAAAGGGTAAATTAGACGTCCAACACGAGGAGGTCCTCAAACAAAGAATTTGTGAGTAACGATGGACATTTTTGTCTGTAAAATGGTTCCTATATAACTATTATTATTAAAGCGATAAGTCTGTTAGCGCAGTGGCACGTCTATGTATTTTAGTACAGAATGTCTCAAGTTCGAACCAAGGTTTCGGTGGACCAATTGTTTGCATTGTTTTACATTGTTTTACATTGGTTTTTTCTTATTTTTCTTCTTTAGGTATATCTATACATACAAATGTTTGGTTTTTTTTTATTTATCGGTTAACCTAACCTATAGTACGGTTAGGTTAGGTTAGGATTTTGTTTATCCAAATTTTAAACTACAGATGATACTCTATAAATATGGTTTAATAAAAATGCAAAACAGATGTAATATTGTATCTAGGACTTATAATACTTGGAAATATTTTCATTTTACCTATTATAAATTTGAATAAATTAATATTAATTACTTATATTTTCAAAGAACAATAGCATACATTGTCCCCATATCTTCCAAACCGAAATTATCTCGAAACTTTTATCCTTAGTAAACAAAGTTAAATAACTCAAAAACCATCTTGCTTCTGATACGACAAGGTTTGAACAAAAATGGGGGTTCTTATATTTGAATAACATAAGTTCGTATCTTCACATGACATAACAAATCTAGAGAATTTGGAAA